ATCTTGGCAATGTTAAATCTTTTGATCCATGAACTTGAGATTTCTTTTCATTTATTCATTTCTTTAACTTTCTTGAAATGATATTTTGTAGTTTTTAGTTAAAAAAACTCTTGCACTTTACTTGTTAAGTTTATTCCTAAGTATTTTATTTTGATGCTATTGTAAATGAAATTTTAAACTGTATTTTTAAATAAGAGTAGTCTTTGCATTTGTAAAGGTTATGTAGATCTGTAATATCATATAAAACTAGGACTTCAATCTGAGAATCATCTCACACATACTGTCTTTTCAAAGGACACTAAACCTACTTACCACTTTGAACAGAAGTAGAAAGCTTTGCATGACCCAAAGGAAAGGATGAATATTACTGAAGCAATATATATCTATATACAAACATATTTATATATATGAATGTGTATACTAACATATTGAGAAACTGTATTTTAAGTTGCATTATCAAATTAATTGTGCAATGTGTAGTCATTCATATGTGAATCGTATGATTAACAAAATATACCAAATTTTGACATTTTAAATACTCATGCTAATTAAGTGCACTTGTTAAAACTATTGACTATATGGAAATTAACGAGTAAACCTTTGAAAAGATGCCCAGTTTCACTGGAACTGTTTGCATGTACAATCTGCTGTGACATAAGTCAGATGAAGCGTTGGGTTTTTGAATACTGCAGTGGCAAACTAGTCACCACAATGATTATAATACTATGCTTATTTATAGAGCAAGATGAAAAGAGCTAGTTAAGGACGGTATGACTAGATATCAATTATCTTTAAATGTTATATTTAAAATTTTCCCACATGTATAGTAATCATAACATTGAACATACCACTTAACATGTGGGAAAAACACTGTAATAGAGGTATTAAATTGAGCGAGAAGTTTGTAGTGAATACTGGAAATGATTAATTATAGTGGGGCATTTAATTGGGAAATATTCTTGTAGTCCTTTTTTTTCAGGAGTTATTAAAACTACACAGAAGAAAATTATTCTATAAAAAATAATGTCTTTATGAAGCATTACTCTAGGTTGATTGGTCTGGGAAGATTAAAGATGAAAAAATGTAAGCACATTCACTCAGAAAGTTTTGGTTTTGTGGTTGCTGGTATATTTGTCTGCAGTAATAGAATTTGACAGCAGAAGCCAGCTGATGGCTCACATTCTATGAAATGTACTGGATTAGAGCCTACAGAATGAATCACTATTGGTGAACATTGTCAAGACAGGAATGGGCTATGGTTTTATCCCTAGAAGGTCTATCTATATAACTATCATCCATTTGTTAGAACACATGTTTTAGACAGAAAACATCCTAATATCAGAATAATGCCAAAGGAGAGGAAGACACATGTTTTAAATGTACGGATATGGCTTCTCTTTTTACGCATTATGAAAGATGGTATTATTTGTTAATATAGCAAAGCAAGAGAGCTGAATGATATTTGTTGATGCTTTGTAGCACAGTTGTGAAAAATAGGAAGTTTAATGTACTCTCAAGTAGTAGTTTTTTTTTTGTTTTTTTTTTTTTGCGTTACGTGGGCCTCTCACTGTTGTGGCCTCTCCCGTTGCGGAGCACAGGCTCCAGACGTGCAGGCTCAGCGGCCATGGCTCACGGGCCCAGCCGCTGCGCAGCATGTGGGATCTTCCCGGACCGGGGCACGAACCCCGTGTCCCCTGCATCGGCAGGCGGACTCTCAACCACTGCGCCACCAGGGAAGCCCGAGTAGTAGTATTTTTAATTTAGCAACATATCCAAAATAAATTATGTGTCTCAGATACTAATGTATTTATAAGATCCTGACTCAAGTGTTCGCTACTTGTTCTTCCTTGGGGTGGATGTTGGTTGGTTCCCAGACTTCAACTATGACATCAAAACACAGTACAGTTATACATAAATAGATTCCTTGATGAAAATGTAGTCATGTATGTTTAACATGTTTACTGAAATTTTCTCAGTAAACATGTTAAATTTTCTCAGTAAACATGTTAAACATACATAAATTTTCTCCATTATATTAAGAAATGTAACACATATGGCTTGACTATACCGTTTTTACTAAAGAAAATTTACAACTGTTAAAAAATTGTGGTAGTTTTCATTATCTTACAACTTTAATTTTTATTTAGGAAAAACATTTTTCCACTAGTTCAGTATTCAGGAAACTGATCAAGAAAATATAGTACTTAGCTTATAATGATGAATATTTATCCTCCGTAATGAGGCCTATCAGATTTGGATATATTTCTTTGTTAATAAGTCTTATTTCCTTATAGAAAATAAAGTGTATTGAGAATTAAAGAATTAGACATGTGGGTAGACAAGCTGACCTTTAAGGTCTCTACCAAACTTGAAGTTTAATGTTTCTGAGATTTTTTTGTTTTTACTGCCTTTTTTTTTTTAACGGTAACATTATAAATCTATAGAAGCCCCAAACAAAATGCAATTTTGGTTTTACAATAATTAGCTTTGAAACATAACCTTCACAGAAAGTATTTTATTATCTTATATAAGAGTCCATTAGGGTATAAAATCAATATTTTAGCCACTCAAGTGGAGCATTTCATTTTTCTCAATATTTTTGAGAGAAGCCACTTTCAATTTAACTTTTTTTTCTTACCTAATGGAATCTTATACATAAATAAAATAACTTTTCTAAATCATTAAAACCTAATAGAAAATTAACAGGGTTATGATAGATTGCTTTTCCTTTGTGGTGAAGAGACAAGGTAGAGCTAATAGTCTTGAGTGCCCTTAGGACACATGAATTACCATCTACTTTCTCAAGGGAGGATATTTGAAATTAAACATGCATGAATTATCTACTCCACCTGGGGGAGATCTGATAGCCCTCAGCAAGTGTTGAACTTCGGGGCTACAATTCTCTGCCCTCCACTATTCACCCCACATTCAAGAAAGGAAAGCATCCTTTAGCAATAGATCTATTTATGAGAACAAGCTCAGTCACATAGTTCCCCAAAGGGAGGCAACCTTAAGAGTGATGATAGAATATTGCTGACACTAGACACTTTGGGGCATGTTTTTGGTATAAGATAGTTGTCACTACCTTCTCAGTAGATTATCAGTAGACTACTATACTGGTGGTGGTCACAGAATGGGTAAGTAAGCTTAATTTGAGCTGCATTAGTTTCCTATTGCTGTGTAACAAATAACTCCATATTTAGCAGCTTACGACAATAAGACACTTATCATCTCACACAGTTCCTGTAGATTGGACATTCAGAAGCAGCTCAGCTGGGTTGTTCTGGCTCAGGGTCTCGCACGAGGTTGCGGTCAAGGTGTCAGCTGGGGCTGTAGTCATCTAAAGGCTTGACTGGAGCCAGACGATTCACTGTCTAGGTGGCTCCCTCACATGCATGGCAAGTGGGTGCTGACTGTGGGCAAGAAGCCTCAGCTCCTTTCTATAGGGCTGCTTGAGAGCTCTCATGACAGTCTGGTTCTCTCCCAGGAGTGAGCAGTCCAAGAGAGAACAAGGCACAGGCTAAAGTGTCATTTATGACCTAGCCTCAGAAACCACATGCAGTCATTTCTGGAATATATTATTGTTTACATAATTCAGCCCTATTTAAAGTGGGAGAGGACTCCATGAGTGCATGGTTCCAGGAGGTAAAGTTATTGGGGGCCATCTTGGAGCCAGACTATCACAGCAAATGGTAATTTATCTTTGGGGTTTTTAATAGAGCTGGTCTTGGGAAAATAAGTTTTTGGTTTTATTTTTTTAAACATTCCTTTAGCTCTCCTCTCTGTGCCTCTTTGAGCTGTACTTTATTTCTAGAAGCCAGTACTTCCAAGTTGACTCCTTCTTCCTCAGGGGTGCCCTTCCTGTCCTTCCTTGCTCACAAATTCAATAAATATTTGAGGACAAATTGTGTGTCAATCACTGTTTGTTCACATCAGTGAACAAAATCCTTCCATTCATAGAGCTTACCTTTTATATAGGAGTAGCTTGTCATAATGAGTTGTCTCCTATGATCCATAATTTCTGGTTTGTCCTGTTAGCATTCTGTGGGATCTGATGCTATTTCCAGGTGATAGTGTCAGAACTGATTTGACTTGTAGGACACCCAGCTGGTGTCCAAGGATTGCTTGGTGGTGTGGGAAACCCCACTTCCCTTGCCCCCTCACGTTGGAATCGGGTCCAGAACCTTTAGTAAACAAATTTAAGGAAAGAGGTCAATGATTGGCAAAATTCCCTTAAAATAACAAATTTGTTTTAATAGAGGTATTCTGTGATCTAATTCAAAAGAGTACGATGGAACTTTAAGGGCCCGAAGCAGAGAGAGATCTCAGCAGGGGAACTCGCTCATTTGTGCCAGTTTCACTGCTTTAAGCCTACTTTTGTTCAATGGAAGACATAACCATCAAGCTATCTCACTCAGCACGGTCTTTTCCACAATGTGAAAATGCAAGAGTGGGGGAATAAGTGAATTTTAAGCTTAAACAGGCAAAAACATTAATATGAGAAGTGTCAGAGATTAAAGTAGCTAATTTTGCCATTTCCTTTCAAAATTGACGCAGTGAGGTTTGAATTTCCCCAGATATGGTGGAAAGACTTGGATCACCATTTCTATGTGTGTTTATAGCCTAGCCAGTGTTTCAGGGACTCTGGCATTTATATCTGAGCTTAGCTCTAACACGTTTTTCCATGGGACTTATTTTTTTTTTCTGTTTTAAAACTGTTTGGGCCAATAAATCTTTCTCCACATGTCAGATTGGTCAACACCAAGGAGGTAAATGGAACGTAATGACACTCATCAAGTTTATGATGTGAATGATTTATTGGACCCAATCATTTAGCACTTTCATAAAGTCAATATTGGGGAAAGAAACTCTGGGCTCTTATTATGGTAAACTGTACTGTCAGCATTCAGTGACTTATTACAAACCTGTGGCTAGGATTAGGATATTATAAATGGGGGACAAATGGAAGGCTCATTAATATTTTATACCCACAGGTGGAAGACATGCAGTGGGCCAACAGAGAACACACTCACCCGGCGTCTGTCTGCAGCCTGCCCTGTAAGCCCGGGGAGAGGAAGAAAACAGTGAAAGGAGCTCCTTGCTGCTGGCACTGCGAGCGCTGTGAAGGTTACAACTACCAGGTGGATGAGCTCTCCTGTGAACTCTGCCCTTTGGACCAGAGACCAAACATCAACCGCACAGGCTGTCAGCTCATCCCCATCATCAAACTGGAGTGGCATTCCCCCTGGGCCGTGGTGCCTGTGTTCATTGCCATTTTGGGAATCATCGCCACCACCTTTGTGATCGTGACCTTTGTCCGCTATAACGACACACCTATTGTGAGGGCTTCGGGACGCGAACTTAGTTACGTGCTCCTAACGGGGATTTTTCTCTGTTATTCAATCACCTTTTTAATGATTGCAGCACCAGATACAGTCATCTGCTCCTTCCGACGGATCTTCCTAGGACTCGGCATGTGTTTCAGCTATGCAGCCCTTCTTACCAAAACAAACCGAATCCACCGAATATTTGAGCAGGGGAAGAAATCTGTCACAGCGCCCAAGTTTATCAGTCCAGCATCCCAGCTGGTGATCACCTTCAGCCTGATCTCCATCCAGCTCCTGGGAGTGTGTGTCTGGTTTGTTGTGGACCCACCGCACATCATCATTGACTATGGAGAACAGCGGACTCTAGACCCGGAGAACGCCAGGGGAGTGCTCAAGTGTGACATCTCTGATCTGTCGCTCATTTGTTCACTAGGGTACAGTATCCTCTTGATGGTAACTTGTACTGTTTATGCCATTAAAACAAGAGGAGTTCCAGAGACTTTCAATGAAGCCAAACCTATTGGATTCACCATGTATACCACCTGCATCATTTGGTTAGCTTTCATCCCCATCTTTTTTGGTACAGCCCAGTCAGCAGAAAAGGTAAGTGGCAAGAAATGCATTGCCAACCCTTTTCCTGGATTTAACTTCTTCCTTTAGGATGCTTTCCCTTCTTTCTTTTTGGTTCACTTATATTCTCTCAAGAAGCTTCAGTGTTTTATGTATATATTCAAGGTCATTTTGCTCTGAATATGTGTTGACTAAGGCTGATTTTCCATGAAAAACACTTTAATGTGTCCTCCTTGGCAAGGTGGAAGATTGACAGAGCTCACATCACTTTCTGGGTCCCTTTTCCCGTTCTGTTATCGACTAACATAACTGTTGTTTTCCAAACGTTAAAAGAGGAAGGGAGAAAGGGCAGACATGATTCACAGGGCTGAGCTATTCCAGAGGTTTCTCAGTGTGTGACAAATGCCTCCTTTGCCGGTTCTAATGTTACTCTCAGAAAAAGCTATTCCTTAATAATTATGATGGTTTTAGTCACAGAAGCAAACTGCAACAGCAAAAACTAAGTGGCTTAATTCAGTCTGAACCATCGTACTATTTCTCTTTAGCTCCCATTCTTATTATTTTTCCATATGTGGAGGATGGTGGTGAGGGATGAAAGAAGCAGCAATGGGCGATTATATAATGCAGTTTATATTTTTTTAGAAGTTGAAGATCAATTGAATTTCCTGAAATAATTTTCTTTTGTTACTAATCTTCCATTAACTTCACCACACAAAACACTGCATGTAAAGAACATCTGTGTGTGAAAGGAAATACATGCTGAACTGGATGTATGTGTTTCTGTGTATAGAAAAGCAGAGAACTAACGTTAACCATGACTTTCAAGGTTTGGGTGGTGTGATGGAGACAACCAGCTTGAAAAACAAAGGCAAATGCTACCATTCTAAAGGGATAGCTCTTCAGCCCTAATGTGCATATGAGAAAGTTCTTCTCTCAGAGTGAGGATGTAAAGATTATTCCATCCTCCATCATCAGAAGTCGTGAGGAAGTCAAAACATCCGGGGGGGGTCATTATATTCCATAGGTTCTAACATTCCAAGTAAGGTCCCACATGACTCTTAAAATGCCAACTAATTCAGAGGAAAAAATACTCAACAAGGGCATGGAGAGCTCATTAGTATGAGCATTCATCCCTTACTCGATCAATGTGGTCTTCAACTTTGAAAGCCAAAAACGTACTTCAGCAAACCTGCTGCTGAATAGAGCAAACTTGCCATGGGTTCCAGGCCTGTGACCTTTCTTGACTTGAATGGCCTGATGAAAGTCCACGAATATTTTACGTAGGACCATGCTCATGGCGGGAAAATAAAGTAAGACAGTTTGGGACACGAAACTTAACCACTAGAAAACATTATATCTTGACATACACAGATGGGAATTTATTAGGATCAAACTTGTAAATTTAACATAGGAAGGGATGTGTCACTCAAAGTTTATTAGGTCTGTTTTGACGTGGTTAGTTGGACTAGTCAGGGAAAAATATTGTTTTTCAGTGTCTAGAAATGTCCACATTATGTGAATTATTGATAACATCAACCTAACTGGTACTTGTATTTGTGTTTGAACCTAGAACTGTCTTTTTTAACATATTGTTTTATCTAGAGAGGGCCATAGGAAGTTTATTTTGTTTTCTTGTGGATAACAAATATTTAACCAAACAAAATCTCCTGAGTTCTGATATCTAACTCCCTTTTCTTTTGTTTTCTCTCCCTTTACATTTTATAAAAGACAGTCTACGCTTACTTTTCATGTTGTGACGTCAAGGATCTGGGGGAGCAAATATAAATGCTAATAAGATGTTATTTCTATTCAGGGAACTCTTTCAGTGACTCAATTTTTAGAAGAAATTTTTAGAATAAATAAAATCGTGGTCCTACATCAAGCTATTGGGCGCCTTCGTAGTAAGGCAAACATGCATCATAGTAAGTTTTTTTTAAGGTAACTGAAAAAAAACCAAATGACCATTGTCTCTCAGATAAGAACTCTGCAGCTGTCCCCTGAGGAGCAGTGATGGAGACAGTAAGAGTTTCAGGATGAAATGGATACATGAATAAGCCAGGGCTGGAGGCTGCCCAGTGCTGGGCCTGTGGGAGCTGTACATCCATCTGAAAACCTGGAGTGTATGTACATACTTATCGGTGTGGATCTATCAATGCCTCCAGAGAGACGACTGAATGCTAGCCAGAATTCTTTTTTCTTTTTTAGCTTTGTGCAATCAAAGTAAGTCAGAGAAACACACTGTAAGACAGATTTATAAAATATGTTAATTGGAATTTATTTGTATTCATGATATGATTGAATGTGGAAATGAGTGAAGAAATCAAGAAGGAACACTAATTCTAGGAATTTTCAGAACATTGGAAAGTGCTCAAATTATGTAGTTAGGCTTGGAGTTGCTGAATTTAGACAAGCTTTGCATCAAGAGCTATTATTTGATAAGTAGCTAAGATTTGCTACTGAAGTACTTTGTGTAATATACTTATGTGTCATCCTAACACTTCACGTTAAAATTTGCTTCCCGCTATTCTCTGTCAAAGTATCTTTAATTACTCAAAACAATACACAGAATGTTTGAGAGTGTTTATTTTTTCATGTTGCTAAAATTATTGACACAGATATTAAAAGTGAATACAACTTTTATATCTCTAAAGGCAGGCTTTCTCTAAGTTTTATTGACTTTGGAGGACCAAAGAGCTGGTCAGTTCTACATTGTCCTTTATAATGCTCAGCCAGTTAACCCCACGTTATCAGCTCGAAGTGTGTGCAACAGTCAGGAGGCACACACAGCCATTAATTCAGCAGATCCTTATTGAGCATTGTGTCCAGCATTGTGCTAATTACTGAACCATGTCAGTCAGTATCCCCGAGCCTTCCTTGTACAAAGGCGCAGCCTGTCTCCCAGCTGATGCTGCCTGATGCCTGTCATCACCAGCAAGTGCCAGGTGCCAGGGCAGGAGAAGATCAGGCTCAAGGGCAGGGGGAGATGGTGAGGAGTCAGATGTGAGACGAGAAAGCGAAGAAAAGAACTGTGCATCCTGTAACTATGCATCAGTGACATAGAATTTATAACACGGAAGAGCAAAATTTCTTCCAGTATGCACTTAATTATGTTTCATGGAGTCATGTCTACAGGAAAAAAACCCATCTAGCCACACAGGTCTCTTTGAAATTACAAGAGAAGTAGGAATAAAAAGTAAAATTAGTTGACTAATTTAGACAGATGTTTTAGAAAACCTCTAAGTAAAATCAAGTTATAAAGGGACATTTGTAGCATTCATGAGGACAGACAGCTCTCCAAAGTATGTCTCCATCCAATGATAAAACACCACTTAATTTTCCCACATTCTTTTTTTTCAGATTTCAAAATCAAGATGAATCATGTTTTTTCCTATAGATTTTAATGACATCATTTATTAGCTTTATATCTACTACGGCATTTTACTAACTCATAGTTTAAATGCACTTTCTTTTTTCCTATAAAAAGGTGGTGTGAAGGAAGGGCAGACACACTGCGGCACAGACAGGGACCAACTCAAACTTTCCTAATTGGGTTGAAAAGACAAAAAGTTAAAATATAATTAATGTAATAGTCAGGAAGAGAATCCCCAGGGATGGTTAGGGGCTGTTAGGATGGCAGAAATCTCTTAAATACATATCTTACCATCTCTAATTGGGTTCATAAAGTCTAGATAATCAGACAAAGGTTATGACACTGCCAAGCTCCAAGGAGCACAGTGCTTCAACCAGAACATAGGATGGAAACAAAACAAAACACCCTCAAAACGGAAAAGAAAATAAAACTCCAAACTGTCAAGCACCCCATATGTCCCAAACCAGCCTTTCTTCTTTCACCTTCTGGATAAGTCGTGTAGCCTCTATTTAGTAGCTTAAATAAAAAACCTGGAGTTATCTTAGACCCCTCCCTGTACTCACACTCACCTCCTCTCACCTTCAAATGTCATCCTGTATCAGTTCATGGAGGGTAAGCCATGTTTGTCTGATATATATCTGAATGAATGCATCTCTTAACATAGAGACTTTCATGTAATATATTCTCAATAAATACCTATTGAATGAGTAAATAGAGTCCCTTGCACAATAATGACATACTATAATAATAAAAATCCTTATTATTTAAGTTAGAATATGGCATAATGGTAACCTTATATAGTCATCATATTGTGATCCCCACTGCAACTTTTTTTTTCTGAAAAATAAGTTTTCTCCTTTGAATGATGGGCCAAATACATTTCTTTTTAAAAATTTTGTCAGTATCACTTATTCTGATATAGGACTGCTAAATATTTAAGGAGAAATATGAAAAAGAATTCTAATAGCTGTCCTTAGTTTTGTCTAAAATATACAAAACAAAGGAGAATTGATGCTGTTTTCCAGGTGCTTTGCCATGTCAAAAGTATCTCCCTTATTCTTTTTATTTATTTATTTATTTATTTATTTATTTATTTTGGGCTGTGTTGGGTCTTCGTTTCTGTGCGAGGGCTTTTTCCAGCTGCGGCGAGCGGGGGCCACTCTTCATCACGGTGCGCAGGCCACTCACTGTCGCGGCCTCTCCCGTTGCGGAGCACAGGCTCTAGACGCGCAGGCTCAGTAGTTGTGGCTCACGGGCTTAGTTGCTCCGCGGCATGTGGGATCTTCCCAGACCAGGGCTCGAACCCATGTCCCCTGCATTGGCAGGCAGATTCCCAACCACTGCGCCACCAGGGAAGCCCTCTCCCTTATTCTTTTACTCTGTCAATTATAAGGTGAATGAGTGGAGTAAGGAAGAGCATAAGCTCTGGAGTGGGAGGATGTGGGTTCAAATCCTGCAGCTCTGCTAAACTAGCTGAGAAAATTCAGTTAAGAGGCTAAATTTGTGCAGATAGAAATACATTTCCTGGGGAATGCAAACTCAGATATAAAGCAGCATAAAGCATTTGCCTGCCATCTGTGCCCAGCCCTATTCACAAACTAAAGCAGACTTGAGTTCATACCATTTAGAAAAGGGCAGGAAGATGATTGACTTAAAAAATCCT